AATTAAAACGACGTAATTTATTTGAAAACGCCCGCAGCTTTTTACTCACGGTATGCGTCCGGAATCTTCCACATTTTGAAACAGAACGAAGGAAGATTTACTTTTAAAAACGCTCGCTGCGTCCTCCCGGGCCAGTTTTACTGGATCAGCTGACGACGACGGGACTGGATTCGTTGTACGTCAACCCCACATAACACACATAGCACCGGATTACACACACCACGAACGTTTCAGCTCTGTCGTATCGCCGTGTGGCACCAAACGGAACGAGATCGCCGAAACCAACGCAGCGCTGTCGTGAACCTTGGCTTGTGGTTGCGCACTCGTGGATTCTGTGACTCCCTTCACTTTCAAAGCACGCACGCCGATTACGAACGATACTTTCCGTCTTCCGGGAACATCACAGGGGCACTTCTCCCGGTCACGTCTTCGCTACATGTGCTCGCAAACCGCGTCAAACCAAAAACCCCGGCATGGCGTAGTTGCCAGATCTTGCCGGACGTCGAGACGCTGCGTCGTTCAACTGCGCAACGCAAGGAGAGTGAGGGGCGGGGCGTACTCCTTTTCCGCGGGGGTCGAAAGAGCGGGAGTTTCAAATGTGGAGAGGTTCTAACTCTACTAAATTACGTCCTGTGGCGTAAATATTGATAAAAAAAATCATTTTTTTCGCGGAACATTTGTTTTGTGACATGCTTGTCCCAATTAGGCTGTTTAAAAAAAACTTTTTTTTCTTTGCAGTTACCCTTTAAAGACATCCGGGTGGCGTGCGAGGACCTCCTGTATCTCCAGTGTCATGACAGCTGCTGAAGTTGGCTGCATTTGGTTTATGCCACAGATGCGAATCCGAAGCGCTTGAAACCAATCTCTGCCAAGAAGGTTGCATCCAGCCTCTTTCATGACGAGTAGTGGCAGCAAGAAGTCTTTGGTCTTGAAGCAAACGGACACTTGCGCTGAACTGAGAAGTTGCAGGAATTCTCCAGTCCAGGTACGCAACTGCAGGTTGTCCTCATGGAGCTGAGGAGGGTTATGGGGCCACACCTTGCGGTACGTTTCCTCGCTGATCAGGGTACACGAGGCACCGGAATCCACTTCAAATTCTAGTGATTGGCCTTCAATCTTCAATGTCACAAGGAATTTCGGACATGGTCTGTGCGGTGTCACTGTGTTGAGCTCATGATAAAAATCTCCATGTTCCTTCCGCTGCCGGTCGACTGCTGTGGGAGTGAAGTCCACGTTGTGCTGACTGCTTTTGTGGCTTGCACTTTTACCTTGCTTTCTCTTCGTGATGCAGGCTTTCTCGATGTGTCCACGTTTGTGACAGTAACGGCACTCCTCGTTGCGGAATCTGCAAGTCAAAGGACCTGTGCTGGCCTTCACATCGAAAACAAGGTCGAGTGGACGATCGGCCGGAGTTTTCAACTTTCCCCTTCGATGTCTTGTGAACTAGGGGAAGGTCAGTCTTATGCTTGATATTCTGTCGCTGTTTTGAAGCGCTTTCGACTCTGGTTGCGAGCTCGAAAGCCTTCTCGAAAGTGAAATCTCTTTCCGCAAACAGGTGCCGCTGCAGGAACTCATCTTTTACACAACATATAAACCTGTCACATATAGCATGACATCTAGTGGCAGGCTGGTGGTATGTACGGGCATCATCGTGGCTGCTTGGCCCGATACACCCATTGTCGATACGGAAGTCGTGGTTGCGGTTGTCACTATTCCCAAATTGCAGTCGGCTGCAAGTTTCTTTAGTGCCGCTACGTAGCTGCTAATCGACTCGCCTTGCTGTTGATCTCGACGCTGGAATTCGTAGCGACTATAAAGTTCAGACGGTCGAGGATTGAAGTGCGTTCTCCGGGTTGAGACCAGTTCTTCAAAACTGACATCTCCTGGTGTTCTTGGGGAAACTAGAGCATGAACAGTCTCAAACGTCTCCGCGCCACACAGGGTTAGTAAAAGTGCATGTTTCTTCACCGGATCGGTGATCGAGTTGGCCTCGAAGTAGACGCTCAGCTGCTCACTCCAGGAAGACCAGCACTTGCCCGTGAAAACTTCAATTGTCCACTCCGTCGTCATGACTTGTGGCCTGGTGTCCCACTGTAGAAGTCATGCTTCGTAGGTTCGGATCTAGCTGCTCGTCGCCAATGTTAAGTTGGGCGTCTCGGCCCGTATATAGAGGGTGTCTACTACCATCGGTGGCTGAGTATGAGCTGCTTTTACTCCCACGATATTCGTACGGCCCAGCCTGCTCGCGTCACGGGCGGCTCGGGTAACCCTATCTCTGGAAGCCGCGGCGGTGGGACGGCGGCATTACGTGAGCGCCCGAGTGGCACCGTAAGGAGTTCCACAAAGTGGCGGAATGTTGCTCGTATTCAGGGGCGGATCCAGACCTCCATTTTAGGGGGGGCGGTTCCTCAGTGTAAAACGGCGGGGGGGGGGGGGAGGGAGGGGGTGTTTATATTTTTTGTGGAGTTATCGTTTTAACTAAACTCTGATAACATAATATAGATCTTGAGAGCTTTTGTATAGGTTTACCTGTCGGGGATGAACTCTTTGAATTAAAACCTTTCGGGTGACCACGCTAGAGGTAAGTATCTCGAAAATTGTGGTGATACTATCCTTTCTCAAACTTGGGTTTCAGACCGACACTACGTGAGCAGTCGATTTAGGGCAGCTTAAAGACATTGCCTGGCAGACATTCTGGTTGGAGCTAGTGCTCAACTGCTGCGGCAAAGGGAAGAGCGGCTTAAATCAGCGGAGCGAGTACAGCGCAAACAAGCGACAAAAATGGCCTGGCGGCTTCGACGCTGCTCGCGGCGTCAAAACACTGTTGACGCAGCGAGCGAAACGAATGCTGCCATGCAAGTTCGTCGGTTGTTCGCCGTATATTTGGAATGTCCAGAGCGCAGCACATGCGGCATTGCCAACCCAAACTCGTGTTTCCACGTGTTCTGGATGCAACTCGAGAGAACGAAAGTGAATAATCGTTGAATATTTTTGAAAGCATGTTGCAGTTCGGCAACTATAACTTTTGAACTTATACAAGACCTTAAACCAGCAATGGATCCTTCCAAATTATATTCGATTGCACTTCGTCTGGATATTTTCTGTATCAAAGGAACACTTACTTGTTTCTGGGTAGTTAGCTCATTCGTCAGGGTTGAGAGGACAGGTGCAGAGATATAATAGGGCAGAGCGGTTGTAAGGTCGGCGAATCTCAACTGGGCTAAAGGCCGATCACGACTGCAGCATGGATGTTTGGGAGTCGGTGTTCACTCGAACGGGCACAGGCACTGTCTATTTAATGTATGTGTAGCCGCATCTTCGAAAGGGCTCGTTTTCCCCAAGTCCGTTTGACACACACATATTCGCTCCTGCAAAGCCGCGCGAAAGCTCTGCCGTCAATTCACAGAAGCCACGTTTAACTGGAAAAGACGGCGCCAAGGGGAGACAAGGGGTAGCGGGCGCCTTACCTAAAATATGTCCCGCCACCCTAAGTTGAAACGGCATTGTATACAAATAAATGCCTACGGCGTCGGCTTGAGGACCCCGTGTAAGCAGCCTCCAGCCTTTAGAGTGCTCGTACCGTTTATCTTTCTTTTATTAGTTTCCCGCCACGAGAAGTCGTACCGCAGGCAGTATGAAGCCCATTAGAGGAAAGATCTCCCCCTACTGGCGCTCGTCGGCTTCTTTCTGTGTTCCGCGCTGCGGCGCTGATCCTCAGTGAGGGATGGAGGCGAGGACGTAAGCGGGCTTATGCTTAAGCCAAGGTCGTGGAGAAATCCGGAGCGTCTTCAGGAGAACCTCGGACCCAGACTACACTGTACCCAGAGCATCTGCTTCCTCTCTCAGTTGAGAAGAAGAGAAATTGGTCACCTGGTTGTACAAGCTGCATCCCCCTCCCCCAACTGGAACGTCTCCTCCCGGTACGGCCCCTCCGCATCTGCCTTGGCAATGAGCACACCGTGCCAATAAGATACCTTTAGTGAGCCCGTGGGCGACAGCATCTCAAAGCAAGCCAAAAAAGACATGCCAAAAGACAAGCCCAGAACCACGAAGAAACCATCAAACGAAAAGTGATGAAAAGGCGGCCGCTAGAGAGGAAGGATAATCCGCTACCCTTGAGAAAGGCTGCTTGACGTCTGTGTTTGGGAGCTTTCAGGGCACAAATTTTTCGCAGACAGCCCCCAAAGAGAGAGAGGGAGACAGAGAGAGAAAGGGGACTAGACATGTTGAAGGTATTTTCCCTTCGTGCTCGACGTGCTGGCCTTGTTTGGAAGTGTGCCTGCAGTCGAGGACCCTGATATTTGGTGCGCCTCCCCACTGTCTCTCCACTTCGAAACTCCTGGCGCCATCCCTGTCGGGAAGACGTACCGTGACCTTGACGGAGATAAACCCCACTTTGGAAGCGCCCAGCTGGTGCGTTCACCCACCACTGTTTTTATCTTTTGTTTCTCGCGTCGATTGCTTACGTTTTTTCTTCGAGTTGACGAAGAACCCCGGGGGGGGGGCGATCGCCCCCCCCGTTCCCTCCTTGGATCCGCCACTGCTCGTATTATGCACAACACCCTTGTTTTAAGATAAAGTGCTTTAATATATTTTACCAGATGACAAAAAGGAATAAACTTTCGAAGTGGTGTCTGCACTATCATGAACACTGACCATATTTGCACTTTTTAGTTTTTGTGAGGTTGTTTAAATAACAATGTAAGCAATGTCACTCGCTACCAGTGCCTTTAAAATATGCCTACTGGAATAGCTAAAGCATTGAGCCTATTTTTCCCAATTCTGGATTGCATTATTTGATCATCCATGCGGCACTTTGTTGATTAAAATTCAAGGATTTTCAGGGCCTGTACCCAATTCAGAACTTTACGCGCACTGGTATTAGTGGCGAGACTGCTTTTTGCAACAAGGGTGTTCCTGACCTCTAGACGATAAGCTTATCGTCTTCAGTGCAATAAACTTGCTGTGAACCACTGCCACCAAAAAGTGGCCCAACCTACCGAGCACCGCGGGAACACATCCCGCCTCCGAGAGAGCAGCATGTCCAAGGTGGTGGCGGCAGGACTGCAGCATGCAAACAATGGCACTGAGGCGGCACTCTTGGTCAGGACAGGACACCAGGTCACAAAGCACCTGGAAGCCTCTGAGGCGTGAGATCTGGTGCACCATGCTAGCATGGTAGGACACTGGAAAGAGGGGGTCAGCAGGTTAATGCATTAGCACAGCGAAGGCAAGAGTTATACCTAGGAATGCCGCAAACCTCCTGAAGTTTGAGTTCGAAAGGTTTAGAAAATTTCTAATCTTTGGTAAGATTCATATTAGAAATGTTTGCAGCTTTAGAACCCCGCCGAGGTTTAAATTCAAATAATTAGAAAATGCCAAGGTTTCCAAAGGGTTGCATTCGAAGATTTTAAATATTTTGGCAGACCATTAGAAAAATTCTTAAGATTTCAAATTTATCTAAGATTCAAATTAAAAAATTAAGATTTAAAATTTTATTGAGGTATAAGTTTGATTTTAAGTTTGAAATCATTGAACTTCGCAGATGGAGAGAAAATTCTGCAGTTTCAAACAAAATTTTAATGAATTCATCTAAAAAAAAAAGTGAAATATGCTACAAATTTTACTGAAAACATTGCCCATTTCTTTTATGCCATGAATACATTCCTTCCTTCTTTGTACTGTGGTACTACCTGCATTACTCGTTATTTGCCGCCACCGATGGAACAAGCGTTGAACTGGTTGAATGGTTCATAGAAAAGCCCCGAGGCAGTCAGGTGAATGTACTTCCTACTTATTTGCAAACTAGTAGCAATTTGATCAAATGTCGCCTAAATGCAATGCTCGATTAAGACAACTAAATATACAGGACATTGCATGTACTATCAGGTTGAAATGAAAGGCGATCACCGGAGCGCGTGCCGCTCCGTACATCCTGCGCCACCTGTCAGCGATCGGGGGAACCCTCGGCGCATGCGCTGTTCAAGTTGAGGGTGCAAGGCTGCGTGTCCTACTGTTAGGTGCTCAGCTCCCGGCTGGCGCACCTGTGCTCCTCTGCAGCGCCGCTGAGGGTGCTCTAAGCCGTTCCCGCTGCGGTTCAAGTTCCTGGCTGCCATCGCCGCGCGCTCGCGGAGCACGGCGGTTCCGGCGGGGCTTCCGAATGTCGGCTCCTCGCTGCCGCTCGCTCGGCGAGCGCGCGGCGATGGCAGCCAGGAGCTTGAACCCCAGCGGCGACGGCTTTGAGCACCCTCAGCGGCGCCGCGGAGAAGCACAAATGCGCCAGCCGGGAGCTGAGCACCTAACAGTAGGACACGCAGCCTCGCACCCTCAACTTGAACAGCGCATGCGCCGAGGGTTCCCCCGATCGCTGACAGGTGGCGCAGGATGTACGGAGTGGCACGCGCTCCGGTGATCGCCTTTCATTTCAACCTGATACTACATAAAGGCATTCAGGCTTCCCGAAAATTTTTAGTTGCTCTGGGCGTTTATTTTTGATGGGACGACTCGTGGGATGGAGAAAACACTGAACACAGGCACAGCACCCGACACAAGCCAAGGTCAAGGAGAATTCAACCAGACTAAATTAGGGGACCACCTGGCCCCCTAAAATACTGCTGATCAGGTCACGACCGGTTGTTATCAGGGTGAACATATTGCTGCTGCCTGGAGCTTTTCTTCTTCAACAAATGGAGATATTGGCTGCTCTAAAATGCAGCCGGTTACTAATGATAATGAACTAACAGCCGATTCAGCGTTCGCTGCAGTGCATCGGCGTCGCGCTCTGCACGCGCCTTTCTTGACTCAAAGAAATCGGGGGACTTGCATTAAGAAACAACTAATGCTATGAAGGACACTCCTAGCAAAGCACCTCAGTTGAATTTCAAGCCTGCAAATCAGGCATCCGTTGGCCCACAGGTTACCTTGGCGCAACCTACGGAGTTGCACGTGGGAGAGGCTTTGTGCGGAAGTTGAAAGAAAAATAAAAGATGTTTACAATCCCCAGTAATGCCGAATTAGAGCGCAGCTCTTGAGGAGGAGGAGGGGGAGGGGAAGGTACGAAGAGGAGGCTATGGCCCCGATTGTCTCCTGCTCGCCTCCCATTTAGGGGAAATTTTTCTGCTAAATTTAGCGGGGAAATTTTGCCACTAAATTCAGCAGAGAAAATTTCCAGCTAAATTTAGAGAGGAATTTTTTCCCCTAGATTTAGCGGGGAGTCTTTTCCGCTAAATTTAGTGGGGAAATTTTTCCGCAAAATTTAGCGGGGAAATTTTTTCACTAAATATAGCGCAGAATTTTTTCCGCTAAACGTAGCAGAGAAAATTTTCCACTAAATTTAGCGGGAAAATGTTTCCGCTAAATTTAGCGGGAAAATTTTTCCGCTAAATTTAGCAAGAATTTTTTCAGCTAAATTTAGCAAGAATTTTTTCCGCTAAATTTAGGGGGAATTTTTTCCACCTAATGTACCAGGAAAAGTTTTCCGCTAAATTTAGCGGGGAATTTTTTCTGCTAAATTTTGCGGGGAATTTTTTCCAGTAAGTTTTGCGGTGAAATTTTTCCGCTAAATTCAGCAGGGAAATTTACCCATAATGCACGGCGTGGTTACATTAATGTCGACGTCGCTCAAGCCGGAAACGGGCGCTTAAGAGCTGCGCTCTAAAAGGTGTGAAGTATGAGGCCAAGGCCACCCCAAAGTGATCATTTAGCGCTTTACAAGCGAGTTGTTTGTGGTATGATTAGCTAAGTAAAACTCTAGTGCAACTTTAACTCCACTTCACAAACTGACATCTTGTGTTATTTATAGTGGTTGCCTCAAACCTATGGGGGTGAACTTAGTTCAAACTTTGTCAAAGTCCTGTTCAGAAGTTTGAAGTTCGTCAAACTTTTGAACTTACTAAATTCTAAACTTTGAAAATCATCAAATTTCGTAGTGTGATAAGCTCGAAAGTTAGAAAATGTTGAATTTCATAGTGCGAAAAATTTGAAGTTTGAAAACAATTAAATTTTTTAATGCCAAAAATTCAGAATTTCGAAAGTCGTAGAAATTTTTATGTAACATGTTTGACATTTCGAAATTTTGTGAACCTTTCAAACCCCTTGGTTCGATCTTCCAACCTCAGGTTTGCAAGGAGTTTGCGGCCACGTCTAGTTATATACCATGATTTTTGAGGGATGGACAAAAATATTTTAATAGCTATTCGACATGTGGCTCATTATGATATGTCAAAATGTAGCCAATAAGCTGTTCTTTAGAAGAAAAAATTTTTTACACTAATGTCTGAAAGCAGTTTGTCAAATTTATATGCTAAACTTGGAATCTGTGCAAAAATTAGAACAAAAATTGTAAACATTTGTGGCTATATAAAATCACACCGATTTAAGAAGTATAAACATAAAATAATTATATTAATGAGTAATATATGAATAAATATAATTAAAAATAAAAATATATAAAAACTATACAAAATGTGTCCTATATATCCATCACCATCACTTCTATAAGTGAGAGAGCTCCAGCTGATACTGTTTTTTTAGTCTGTCGACAAGAATGTTTCCAAGGCATCATTTTAAGTTATAGTGACCGTGCGTGATGGAAGGAAATTCCAATCACACGTGGTCTCAACAAAAAGAGTGTCCCACCATGTCGTAGATCTCTCTAATTTTTAAGACAGTGTGATTTCTACGGGATACATAAAAAGGGACTTTCATATATTCATCCTTTTCTACATCATTTTTTTCTTAACCATCTAAGTGCCTTGGACAGGCCGAGCTCGTTGGCCGCTTTTTGGCTAAAAATGCCATGGACGAGCTCATCTCGTCCAGTGGTTTTTTCGATAGCCCTCAATTCCATGCATGAGCTAGGCTCGTCCGAGTAGTTTGCAGCACTGATCATAGATGGCAGCACTCATTTAAGTTGGCGCATTTTTTTTTCACCGCCGCCAATTTTTGCATAATAAACTTCTGAAATTTTATCTGTATTACTAGAGGAATAAAACTTCTAAATACTAAAAAATAAGGCACTTTTAGGTTACTTTCCGGAAAAAAAAAGGGGGCCTTTAAGGGGTTAATAAATATTGCGAAAGAATTTGAGAGGGAGGAGCTTAGTATGATCACTTAATAATGGCCATGTTAGCTTGTGTTTACATTCCGTCATACTAAGTCACCAATCGTAATTTCTTTAAACAAACCTTACAGCTGTATTTAGAATTATTTCAATATTTTTTTAATAGATAACTTGATATGAGGGTCCCAGACAACACAAGCATACTCAAGAATAGAACGAACATGCAAAAATAAATTGCTTCTTTGAGCGACTGGGGTACAAATTTAAAATTTCGGCACAAAAAGTCAAGCATACGCGAGGCCTTCGGGGAAATGTAGTCAACATGTGCATTCCACCACAGATCTGAAGTGAAGTACACACCCAGATATTTAAGTTCATTAACAGTCCTAGGACTCTTCCATTTAGTGAATAACTAAATACTGGCACTAATACTTTTCTTTTAAAGCTGACGTGTACAGTTTGTTTTAATGTTCAGAGTCATTTGCCATGCCTGACAGCATGATTCAATGTTTTCCAAGTCTTTTTGCAAAATCAGGCTATCATGTGCATTATTAACCCCTCTAATACTACACGAGCATCTGCAAACATTCTAATGGTAGCACAAATATCAAGAGCAATATCATTTATATAGATAAGAAGCAAAAGTGGTCCCAGAACAAAGCCTTGCGGCACACCTGAAGTGATGTCAACCATATGAGATTGGAAGCCATTTAAAATCACATATTGCTTCCTGAACAACAAATACTCACTAACCCGTTCACAAACTTTGTCATCAATTTTATAGGTGTTGAGCTTAAAAATTAAAAGATCATGATGAACGACATCAAAGGCCTTGCTGAAATCAAGAAATATACAATCAACACTCTGTAGCTTGCCGAGTGCCATAAAAAGGCGATGAATACATTCAACTAGTTGTGTGCTACAAGAATTGGCGACGTGCGCGACCGAAAGCGCCGCTGTGGTCGGCCTTCCAGGATTGGCCGAACGCTGACTATGACGTCAGAAAAGGATTTATCATCGACGGAAATAAGAGGAATGAAAGAACTTTAATTTTGACGGTGTTGGCAGTGTTCCTTTGAGAGCGCAATGATTTCAAGCTTCCACCATGCTATTTACAAACACCAT